ATGAAACCGCCGAACACTCGCACTCGTTTCCCCATCGGTCGGCGCCTTTTGAACTCGGAGCCATTTGAAATTCAGATTGGGAAATATGGCCGAGGTTGGGGAGGAGGGGAAGGGGGACGCTTGTGCGGGAGACACCTTGAGGGGCTGCTTCCCTGCCGAACGCGCGTGCCCGACCCACCGGCGTTCGCCTGAAAGCATCGAATTTGAGAGGAGGCACGTGCTCCAGACCCCAACACTCTTTATATTTAAGCCGCGGCGGCGGCTTCCTCGAAAGCTTTCAAAGTTCCACGGAGCCCGAACCTCACGCTTCCTGTTGGTGCCGGAGGGTTTGGGGGGGGGGGGGGGGGGGGGGGGGGGGGGTCGGGAACCCCGGGTCGGCTGGCTCAGACGTCTCGCCGTCGGAGGCTTCTTAAGAGAAATTTCCAAGTCAGGGAGTAGACTTTGGTGGTAGCCGGCGCACACTTCGCTCCGAAATATTTTAGGAGTCATGGATACACTGTATTCTCCGGACTATGTAGACCCCGGACAAGACATGTTTAGAAGTCGGAAATTTTACGCAGTGCGGACTACCTTGCAAGTGCGGACTCTACATTGCGTTGCGCTTCCAAACTCGTTCGTTATGGCGAGACGTGAAGCTGTTAGAACTTCACGTCTAAACTGTGTGAGAGTTTTGTTTCTTGCGTGTGTTAAAATGTGAGTCACATTTTTTTGAGTGCGATGCAACGTCGACCAACATGAGAGGTGAAGGATTTCGTGAATGACAGATTATGATAAGGACAATTTCTCTCGTAAAAGTTTATTTGTTCGCAAATAAAGGGGGCATTTTTTCAAGGTGTGCTGTGTAGGAGAATTCTTTTACGTACAGAATATGCGCCAGGTGTGAACTATGCGCCGGTGTGAATGTTCTAAGAAAGTTTTCTTTATTCCAAAACTAAATGACAGTGTTTTTTATTGTCTTAATATATGGGGTAAATAATTACCTAATTTTAACCGTTCGAAATATATCTATATAGAATAATATCGCGTAAACAGTGAGAGGCTACAAAATTAACTGCTTCATAAAGTGCCAACAGTCGATGATGCACCGAGTCTCCCGTTATGTTACTATGGACATAAACAATTTCCAGCCGTGCCAGGCGACTATCAATAAACAATTAGAAAAATAAAGTTAACAAATTATGTTTCTATTTCATTAAGCAAAAAAAAAATAAAAAAAGTAAAGCATCATTTTTTTTTGTTTAAGAGTACTGTTTAAGATTCTGAAAGAAACAGCGACATGAATATGCCGTTATTTTCTTCGCCATGAAGTAAAGAACCTTTTAAGTAACATTTTTTTAGGTAACTAAAAGAACCTTTTAGGTAACATTGTTACCTTTTAGGTAACAAGCAAGCTTGTGTGTAATGCGGAGTAAAATGATCTATTTACGCAACAAAGTTTGCTGTTTTACAACGCACATCTAACAAGATTCAAGCTTTCATTGCGGTCATATAAACAAAATACTATACAATATGTATATATTTTCAAATAAACCACTTCTATACCTTGCCATTAATAAAAATAAACAAAATAGAAAGAGGCTTTATAAAAATATTGATCCCAAATTCGCTAGATTTTGGAACAATTAATTCATTAAAACGTACGCAACGAATTTTGTTTTTTACACATAATATTGCATTTTTATTCAGTGAGAAGAAACTAAGTTTGTGATTTTTGTTGATGTCAAGGTCAATAAAACATCTTAAATAGGTTGCACAAAGAACTTTCCGAACTTTGCCAAAAGGAGTTTGACACACCTTTTTTAAATTAAATTTATTCGAAAATTTGAAATATTTTAAAAATTATTAGGCACGATTAAACTTCTTTAGAGAGTGTCACAAAAGAGTTCTAGTGCAGTTATTTGAGAAGTGACAATATAGCGAGCGGTCAAACATGCAATCCCCGTCAGGTAAAAGAAGCACCTAGTTTTGCGGCAAGCTCGCCGGTTTGCGTCCTCTTTTACTTCAAAAATGCTCACAAGACATTTTTTTTTTTGCCAAAATTAAAAAAAAAAGTGGTTCCAAGACCGTCAGTGAATAGAGATGAACACACCCTTATAAAACGATTTCGCCGTTCTATTTTGTAAAGTATAGGGGAAGGGGGGAAACTTTTATTTACCCCCCCCCCCCCGAAAAAGTGCTCGAATAGAACACTATCATCTGCCACAGCACCTAGCTGTGTTTCGAGATTTCTGTTTGTTCTTTGTCCCCCTTGTTCCCCTTTTCTGCGGATTATTTTCGTCATTCTTGTCCAGCTCGCTCCCACCTTTGCATTAATGGCATTATCGTCGCAACACTTGCTATTTTGGCATTTGCCATTTGTTTCTTAACAGTTTGACGTTGAAATATTACACCGTAATTTTGCCACTCATGCCATGTCACCTGTCTGAGACTTCAAATACAAAACGACGTTTTGTTTTTGAACACGACAATGCGCACATGCACTACACATGTCCCATGTGCCAGAAGGTTTCCGCACTAGCTTTCCATTTTAGATAACCCTTCGTCGTACCCCGTATCGTAGATAACCAAGCCCGACGGAAAGCTACGAGCGCGCTCTGGAGGCGGGACTCCTCGTGCAGATCTTACGTTGCAGCAGCAGTCTATGATGAGGGACAGTATGAAAACGTCAGAGCGTCTCATCCGAACGCCCAGCCTCCTGCACAAGCTCGGTGCCCTTCATGCTGCTTTCGCCACGCATGCACGCTCGAGGTGCGCGCGACGGCGGATCGTTGTGGAATGTGAGCAGCTCACGCCGCAGGTCGAAGAACCGAAGGACCTCCGTTTTGTTCTAATTCACCGCATTCGGTGGGAGCTGGTACCACGAGGGCGCCACAGTATTTGGTGCCCCAGTAGACTTCCGGTAGTGTATTTATTTCTTCTTCAGTAACACACAGCGATCGGAAAATAAGATTTTCCTTCGGAGAGGTACCTGTAATAGGTTTGTAAGAACCTACGCGCTTTGTAGAACGTAGTACAAATAACAAAAGGATGTGTGACAAGAGGAAAAGAAGAGGAAAACCGGAAGCGCGTAGTGGTCCGCCGATAGTGGGCGGCAGCGAGCTTGTTTGCAAACAAACATTGGTGAATATTGTGTGCGACTGTGGTTGCGCGAACGCTCGCGCTATAGTCTATCTTTAATAAACCTCAGCCTACGCTCTCGCAAACTCCCCGGGATGTACTTCACGGTAGGCACAGTGCTAAGGGACGTGCCGACACGATCTAGAGGAAAAATCAGGCTTCACCATAGCAGCCACCTTTTGTGCCAAATCCCCCCCCCCGGAAGAGAAAAAAAAAAAAAGCGCGTTTACAAAAGAAAAAGAAACGAAAACGGAGCAACTGCCTAAGAACAAGGAGGCAGACATGTTCCTCTTTCCTCTCCTTCCGAGTACAGCTCTTTCATCTTAGTTCCCGGTCAGGCGTCATTTATCACCGCGCGCGCACTCGCTGCCTCCGCTAATTCTTGCACGTTCCCCGAGCCTCCCGAGCACTTGATAATTGCCACACCCTGAGCAGCGCCGGGCACCTCCGCGCACCGGTTACTCCTTCTGCATTCCCCCGCACACCAAGGAAAGGGAAGAAGAAAAGGGGAACGCATTTTCGGGATGTGGAAGAACAGCTTAGTACGAAAGGGACTAACGCAAGACACGCCCGAACCTTCCGCTCGTAGAAAGGAACGTGTTGGTGAACAAAAATAAAAACAACAACAACAGCAACAACAACAACAGCAACAACAACACAGCAATACTTTCCTCGTGAGACTGCATGCGCGTTTATAATGGCACAAACGGTTATAACTGTCCCGGAATTCGGTTAAAAGTGCAGTTGCTTGCCACCCTCGCTTTGTGCGGGGAGGGAGAGAAGTTGCGTTAAGATCGTCCATTCTGAGAGAGTTCATTAATTCGAGTTTGCGAGCGGAGGCTGCCTTTTGCGCCGCGAGGCTTCACGCGGAAATGGGAAGGCGCGTGCGTGTGTCGTGCTTAGACCGCGGTGAGTTCGCTTCGCGTCCGGGAAAGTTGTTGCCTATGGTACGTGATTGTGGACAATGTTCTGTGGGGGAAGTCTAGTCTATACACCGTTGCGAGAGCGTGGCCGAGTGCCGGGTCGTTGGACTCCTCTCTGAATAAAGGAAGAAGAGGCGCCTGTTGCAACGCCTCGTTCGTGTGCGTGTGACTTGTGGACGATAACTAAGTAAAGGAAACGTTACGGTTAGGTTTATTAGTTAAGACAATAGGATTATCGATATAGGGGATATGAAATGCAACAACTACAATAATAACAACTGTCTGTACTCTTTTTTTAAATAACTAGCTCATTACAAGTTACGTTCAGCACTATCTATACATATTCAAGGTGCGCCAGTGCGCTTTTTTTACAGGTAACAGGTCTTGCTTTATCGTATTTGTTTGTTTTTTTTCTTCTCGCGCGTCGATATCGTTCTTTGTGCTCGTATGCAGAGTACGGTAACCTGGTGTACAAAACGAAACACTACATTGCTCTTACGCTTGTTGTCCGAGTGACTCTCTGTATCATTTAGATCACAGAAGAGCCGTTTCTTGACGCTTTACCTTATGGCGTTCACATTGATTGTATCCCCGAGAGTTGACGTAAGCCTTGCGTGATACTCAGCGTTTCAGACATCAAAGAGTCCAAAAAAGCAGCGCTCTAGCTGTACCACGAGCATAGCCTCGCGGTGCGGGAATAAAAGACGACGACGAGGCAGTCGTTCCTATCTCATCCTGGCGTGCGGTCCATCATCCGTAGGCGCTCGTAAAAGAACGATACATGGTGTCAGAAGTGGGATCTTCAGTCTCCACGCACCATGACTGATCTTCCGCCACCAGAACCGCTGCGGCTGGGAGAGCACGCTGCAGAGAATTGGAAAAAACTCAAGCAGCGGATGGAACTCTTCCTTCTGGCTACAGAGCCCAAGGAAGGTCGCAACCAGCAACAAAAAGCCGCTATCTTTCTGCACGTCGCTGGGCAAGAAGCCATTGAGGTATTTAACACGTTTGGTTTGTCAGCTGAAGAAGCCCAAGATTACGATGTCCTGGTACGGAGGTTCGAAGCCTACTGCCTTCCGAGATGCAATGAGACGTTCGAACGCTATGTGTTCCGAACGAGGCGACAAGAGGAAGGAGAAGCTTTCGAACATTTCTACCGCGATATTCAGCTGAAAGCAGCGACCTGTGGATTTGGCGACCTAAAGGACTCCATGCTACGAGACCAGATCGTGTATGGAACGTCAAGCAAGAAGATTCGAGAGAAACTCCTGCGGAAAAAGGATTTGACTTTAGAAATAGCAGTTGAATGCTGCAAGGCCGAAGAAACAGCCAATGTCCACAACAAAACATGGAATGACGCGGCAGTTAAAGGGTCAAGTGAAGCAGCGGCCAAGGTGGAAATCGTTAAGACAGTCAAGCAGCAGCAGAAAGACAAGTCGAGATGTCGCTTCTGCAACCAAGCTCACGCGCCAAGGCAATGTCCAGCCTACAGAAAGACATGCTCAAAATGCAGGAAGAAAAATCATTTTGCAGTATGTTGCAAGACTAAGCAGTCTGGCGTACATGACGTTGAAGAAACCAGTGAGGCAAGCAGCGATTTTGATGTGCTTGAGATTTTGTCAACCAGCAGCGTGCATTCGGTCGGCAACCGTGACTGGACCGTGAATACTACGATAGAAGGGAAGCAGGTAGAGCTTAAAGTGGACACCGGTGCACAGGCCAATCTGCTCCCTCGAACATTGTTTATGAAGATCAAACAAAAGCAGCGGCCTCAACACACGACTGCAACTCTGCATAGCTACGGAGGTGGCATCATACAACATCTGGGAAAAGTCCGCCTGTCGGTATCTGTCGGCAGAAAACAAGGTTTCATCGATTTCTTTATAGTAAAGAAGGGCAGGCAAGCCATCATGGGCCTGAAAGCATGCGAGCACTTTGGCCTCGTCAACCGGGTCAACACTGTGGAGCACGAGAACCAGCAGCGCCAACAAGTAGAGCGCGAGTTCCCCGGTCTCTTTCGTGGTCTCGGTTGCACAAAGAGAGCCTACAAGATGGTTCTTCGCGACAACTCCACACCGGTGATCCAGCCAGCACGCCGGGTGGCGCACGCGCTACGTGCGCCTCTGAAGGCAGAGCTCGACCGAATGGAGACAGCAGGTGTCATCGCGAAGGCACCAGAACCGTCCGACTGGGTGAGCCCCTTGGTTATAGTACGAAAGAAAAACAACAACTTAAGATTATGCATGGATCCCCGTCACGTAAACAAAGCACTCAAGCGAGAGCATTTTCAGCTGCCTCGGAGAGAGGAAATTGAAGCAGACTTGGCACATGCCGCATACTTTAGCCGGCTCGACGCCAACAGCGGTTTCCATCAAATACCGTTGGATGACAGTACATCTCGAATATGCACCTTCAGCACTCCTTTTGGTCGCTACAGGTTTCTCAGACTACCCTTTGGAATCGCTTCAGCCCCCGAGGTGTTTCAGCGCACTATGAGTTACCTTTTGGATGGACTTCCAGGTGTGCGGGTGTATATTGATGATGTCCTGATTTGGGGCGAAACACGGGAAGAACATGACCAACGATTGCGTGCTGTGCTTCATGCTCTACAAACAGAAGGGTTAACTCTTAACTTGGAGAAGTGCATCTTCGGGGTCACAGAAATCACCTACTTAGGAGATAAAATAAGCGCCGCTGGCATTGAGCCAAATCCAGAACTTGTGAAATGTGTTGCAGCCCTACCAACTCCAACGAGTAAGAAAGAGGTTCAGCAGTTGCTAGGAGCTGTTAACTACTTTGGAAAGTACTTGCCAAACCTGTCAACGCAGACAGAGTCGTTGCGTCAACTTATTCGACAAGACACTATTTTTGAATGGCAGAAGGTTCATGAAACTGAGTGGCAACAACTGCGAAAATTGCTCACTGAGGCACCGGTCCTGGCAATTTTTGATCCCTCTCGACCCACCAAAGTCTCAACAGATGCCTCTGCATTTGCTCTCGGTGCTGCCTTGTTCCAGCATGATGGAAAAGATTGGAAAGTGGTGGCGTACTCATCACGAGTACTCACAGACACAGAGCGTAGATATGCTCAGATCGAAAAGGAGGCTCTGGGAATTGTATTTGGGTGCGAAAGATTTACCGAATTCATACTCGGAAGAAAAATATTCGTTGAATCTGACCATCAACCCTTGATCGCTCTTAAAAAGAAAAACTTAGGCGACCTGCCACCAAGGTTGCAACGACTATTTCTTCGTTTGCTTAAGTTCGAATTTGATTTACAGTTTGTCCCTGGAAAGAAGCTGGTGATCGCGGACACACTCTCCCGAATCTCCGGTGGTTCCCAAGCAGAAGACGACACGACCGACGTCGAAATACATGCAAATGCAGTGTTTTCAACACTGGTAGGCAGCCGGACCCTGGGCAGCCTGCAGGCAGCCACAGCAGGCGATCCCGTCCTGCAGGAGGCAATTGCCAGTTTAGAAGCTGGAACTCCAGTTCGGGGTGAGCTGAAGTCCGTTATGACAGAGCTTTCGGTCATCAATGGAGTCTTGTTGAAAGGAAACAAAGTTGTAATACCAGCAGCAATGCGCAAAGAAATACTTACAAGAATACACCAGGGTCACCTAGGCCTCAACAAATGTAAATCAAGAGCAAGGAACTTAGTCTACTGGCCAGGTATGAATGCGGATATTACTGCATTAGTCAGAAAATGCGAGACATGCCAAATTTTCACCTACAGACACCAGGATGAGCCTCTGCATACACGTGAGGTGCCTGGTCATCCTTGGGGTCGGGTTGGGGCTGACTTGTTCGAACTTGGTCGTAAACATTACCTAGTGGTGTATGACGCGTACTCAAATTATCCCGAAGTGGAGGAGCTTCGTGACACAACTGCTAATGGTGTGATCTCCAAACTGTCAGAAATATTTGCACGTCATGGAATACCATTAGAAGTTTGCACAGACGGAGGGCCACAGTTTTCTGCAAAAGAATTCAAAGACTTCTCAACGCGGTATGATTTTATTCATACAGTGTCAAGCCCTGGGTATCCCCGCTCCAATGGCCTCGCGGAGAAAGGCGTCCAGGTGGTGAAGCGGCTACTCCGAAAAGCACAATCAACAAAAGAGGACTTCTGGCTCGGCTTGCTTAGCTACCGTACGGCTCCGCTGGAAGGCGGTCGCTCTCCATCGGAGCTTTTGATGGGTCGTGGTATTCGAAGCCTGCTTCCAGACTTCTCTTCGGATCCAGCACCGCCTGTTCAAAAGCACACCCAGAACCTCAAAAAAGGACGACATCTAGAGCCGCTGCAGCCAGGAGACACCGTCCGTATCCTAAACGATGGAAAATGGGCTACGAAAGCAACTGTCGAGTCCTACGTCGCTCCTAGATCGTACAGCGTCGTCACGGAAGATGGCAGGACGTTCCGTCGCAACAGGCAACATCTCCTGAAAGTTGACGAAGATTATGATTCAAGGACAACAGAAGAAAACGACGACTCGGAATCGGAAGACGATGGGGGACCGCAGTCGCCTGGACCAGACGGTACAGATGAAGAGACAGAGGACCAGGAAGCACCGCAACCTCAGACGCAGCAGGGGCCCTCATCACGCCGAGCGGGCAGAAGCAGACAGCCTCCACGGAGACTAAGTTATGATGAGTCGTTCCAGCAAATGCCGTAGTTTTTTTTTTTCTTTCTTCTCTTTTTTTCTCTCTCTTGTCCCTGTTTTTTTTTATTTTTGACTAGCGTCTTTGTGTCATCTTAATTTTGCACTTTTTTTTTTAAATGCAGAGAAAAGAGGATGTACCACGAGCATAGCCTCGCGGTGCGGGAATAAAAGACGACGACGAGGCAGTCGTTCCTATCTCATCCTGGCGTGCGGTCCATCATCCGTAGGCGCTCGTAAAAGAACGATACACTAGCCATCCTAGGCAGCTCCCACGAAGCAAGACAAACAACGTTTAGTTAGCTAATAAGATGAAACTATGAATAATCTTGCATAACGTCGTTCGGTGAAGTCCGAAGGGCGCTTCGGAGGGTTATTTATATTTTTTGAAACGTTTAATGCTCAGGTCTAGACTATTTTTTTGTACAACCCTTCCCAGCTAGGGATTGCAACATCGGCGTTCCTCTTCTGTATCATATAATTAAGCCTACTTTCGCCAGACTGTCTAGTTGTTACAGACACCGAAGTATTTTGTCCGCATATAAACCTTGCATATCACAACGACGATGCCGCTAGTCGGGAAACATCAACCGTCCAGACACTCAGCTTAACTAGATGAAGTTGTCTGGAGACCGTCTAACCTAATTTAACTAAGAGGTTCGCGCAATATAGCTCAAACCGAGTACTTTTTCAAAAGGGTGTATTACGGCGTGTAATAATGTATAAAATGCTAAATATCTTAGACAAAAGTGGCGAGATGAACCGCCCGAATGGCATAACTAAACTCTTCTATCAGGGGCCAGCGCATGAGTTATCATTAAAAAAGTACACGAATCTTTTCGCAATGAACATTACAATATTAATATTACAAAGATGTTCTATTGGATGGTAACAATAAATTTAAAATATTAGTTTTACGTATAACTCAAACTAAATCGATCTGAAACACCTGCAAAAATTGAAAGGAGGGTAAAGATGATTATATACTAAATATATATATATATATATATATATATATATATATATATACCGTGTTAAGTTTTCTTAGAAATGTATTCGTAGAAGTGACGTAATCGCTAAATAATATTTCTCCGTAACTCTAGCCACTGCTTTGCGCTGAGCCCAGGAAAGTAGAAAAACAGAGAGAACATCTAAATGAAGTGATGTCAAGAGCGTTGTCAGATGACCCTTCCTCGCCTCTAGGCTGGCTTAAAAACGACAAAAATGACGTCACGACTCCTTTTGCAGGCGAAAGACGAGAGAGAGGCTCGCCACTTACCCTGCTCCACTCGCGACACGGCTTTTCAGAATACAAGTGACTTACGTTTACTTCCATTCAATTTGGGTGCGATAATCTTATTCAAGGAATAACAAATATAGAAGGTCCCTGCTAACGTTTACTTTTTTTTAGTAGTAGTTTTTCTTGTTTTTTTTAGTAGTGTTTCTTGAGTAGTGAGTTTTTTTCGCGTGTAAAAAATCTTTAAAGCGTGTTCTTTTTTTTGCGTGTGTGTGTAAAGGTGGCTTTACCTAACGCACCGAAGCGAAGAAAGAAGCTTAACTTCGGATGAAGTTGGGCAACATTATTTTTAACGTTGCCCAACTTTTTACCAAAATGCAAGAAACTTCAATAAAGACACCCGGGAATTGCTTTATAAAACATACGTCAGGTCAGTTACGCAATACGCCTGTGTCGTCTGGGGCCCGCCTACAGCACGTGACAAAATAAAAATAGAAAGACTTCAGAACTTAGCCGCTCGGTTTGTTACCGGGAATTATAGTAGAGATTTCAGCGCGACACGGACAAAGGATATCTTAAAATGGGAGTTACTCGAAACTCGCAGAAGAAGACTTCGTGTGAAGTTGTTTCATAGCATTTACCAGTCGACAGTTGGCATACAAAGAGACATGTATATAATGCGTCCCCCCTATCAATCGGAGCGTGTTGATCCTAGTTTCAAGGTGCGAGAAATTTCGTTCAAAACAGAGGTATTTAGGATGTCCTTAATTTTATCAAGAACTATTTATTAATGGAATCGATTGCTTCCGTCTGTGTTTGCTGTACTGTCAAATGATGACTTTTTCTCTTTGTTAGATTAAACCTAGCTAGAGTTCTTTATATTACCTCGCATTCCCTTGCGTGGTTTATAAGCTATGTTTCTATGTATTCATTAAAAGGTTCTACTTCCTTGTATGATTTATAAGGTTTATGTGTTGTTTGAATTATTCATCTGCCGTGGAGCAGAGGTTTGAGTGACATCGTATGTTTTTGTTTTGTATGTATATTCCCCCCCTAGCACACACACACACACACACACACGCACTGTAATGCCTGATTTGGCGCTGTGGGTATTGTATAAATGCATAAATAAACTGTAAAATAATGAATAATTGAAAAAAAAAAAACGCAGCATTCTTTTTTTCTTTTTGTTGGTTATTTTGCTGTCGTTTTTTGTGGGTGCTAATTATATCTTCGGACCCTTACAAGCACGGACATCCACTCCAGTTAACTTTTCAGTTTCCTTTTCTTCTTTCTCGGCCGTGCTCTTCTTCCTCTTTCTCTTTTCTAGCTTCCGCTTCTTCAACTTTTTAAATTTATTTTCGTCGTTTTTTGTATATTTATTATATCAAATAAATTTCGCTTACTGTTATAAGTAAGAAAAACGGCAAGAGAAAAAAAAAACAGGTAGAGAGAGATGAAGTTATCCGCCTGGGGTTGTTGGCTCGTTTCTGATTGAACCCCTGTCTTGGCATCGGTACTGTACTCCGTTTCACCTCAAGTTTGACCGCAGTCGACGCTAGTAGTCAATGAAGCGGCACCGACGTGACCAATCTCGTACAGTAAACGCGTCAAGGTCCCGCGTTTTTTTTTTTCTGTACGTGATTGGTGTAGCTAATATTCGCAAACCCACAAAGAAAAAAAAAATTAAAGACGTTTATAACTCCCTGTAATGCCCAATCGGAGGGCAGCTCTGGAGGAGGAGGGGAGGGTACGGAGGGGACGGATTGACCTGCCTTCTCATCCGTACCCTCTCCACCTCCCTCCTCATCTACTCCTCCCGTGCTCCTCGCCTCTTCCCCCTCTTCTCCTCCTCCTCCTCCCTCTTTCTCCTCCTCCTCCCTCCTCCCATCCTCCCTCCCGCGCGACGCATTATGAAAAACGTCCCATAATGCCACGCACGCGTCACCGTGGTGCATTATGGGACGTTTCCCATAATGCACTGCGCGGTTAAGACGACTGCGACGGCGACACCGACGCGTTAAAACTGACGCGTTACGGTTACGCCAACGCCGCTCAAACCGGAAACGAACGCCTAAAAGCTGCACTCTAAAAAAAAAAAAAAAAAAAAAAAAAAAAAAAAAAAAAAAAACGAGTGCCGTGACAACTGTTTTTTGACGCTGCTCAATCGGCTTCATCAAATCGCAGCGTCGACTGTCGTCGGACTTCACGTGTAACGGAATGTACACCGTTTTCGGGCTGCGTAGCTGTTTTTGATATTCCCTCCGGCGCGGCTTCGCGAGACCAACAGTAGAGTCAACGACACGCGAAGCCTTTCACATCACGTCCACCGCGGCGGCAGAATTAGCGGAAATGACGAGGCGGGCGATAAACGGGCCGGTGTATCGAAGCCCGTTCAGTTGTCCGCGTGACGTTCTCCAGTCCGCTCAGCGACGATAAGCGTGCGTGTACACGCCGACATCCGGTTCCGGTTGTCAGCCGAGGGGCAACCGCTGCCGTGGAGAGCACCGGAGTGTGGCGAGGAACGCATTTCGGCTGATAATGAGCACAATAAAGGAAGTTTTCGGAGACTTCGAGAGAAAGAGATGCACTACACGGGATAATGCTCTAAAAGTTAAACATAGTCTTTTTTTTTTTTTTTTACAATATTTTATAAGGAAGAATTATAGTCGGTGACGAGATAAGAATTGAGTCGACGCTCAGCCTGCAGCTAAACAAATATCGTTGTCTTCTGCCGCTCTTTGACTGTGCGTGCGAAGTGTTATCAAAGTCAGAAAAGTTACACTGGAGGCGGAACAGGCACTGAATCGTTAAGCTGTCACCGACTATATAGGCGCTTTCTCGCGTTGTGGAAGTGCGTTACGAAAAGCAATACCAGACAGCGTTACACACGCAAGCGCACACACGAACGCACACGCACACACACAAACATCTAAACCTGCTATCCTTCCGCATAAACCCGAAGAGCCCAACAGCTTTTGCCTGCGTTACACGTGCGTGAGTAATTATTTATTACGATGACGGAGAGCTTTCGGTGGTTTCGTTTGCGCTGAACGCACGACACGCTCGTGGGCTCCCCGGGGTGTACCAGAACAATCGAAACGAGTTTTACTTTATTCGAGAGTAGAGTGTGTGAGGGATATGCTTTAAGAAGTTTCCATAGCCTTCTGCTCCTTTCGAGGGTTCGTGCTGCACCCCGAGTTCTTCGTGTTCTTGGATTGCTAGGAGCCCCGTGCGATCGTCTTCGTCGTTCTGGAGGCTAAGCGAAAGCTCAGACTGTATGGTCAATGACACGCTCACAAACAAAGGGCGTGGCGAATCCCAACATCTCATTATCGCTCTTCAGCCAATGAGATTGAGGCATTAGACGACAGAAAAGCTGAAGAACCAATCACGAAGCAAGACACATCAAGCCACGCCCCCCGTTTCTTAAAAAAAGGGGGAGGGGATAAGGGCCCTTACGAGTGTTCTGTCTTTTATTCGCATATACCATTCAAATTCAGGACAAACGTGCATTTTCTAAGGCTGATATTGAATCTGCATTTAGATTTAAAATATTTTTTCCAAAGAAAGATAGTGCATAATATATAATTTAAGTTAGGTAATTGTGTTACGGGTTGTTAGGATGGCTTCTTTCTATAAAACTTTTATTTTAACCAGATATCGGAATTTTCGAGGCTCCACCGCACATCTCAAAGTTAACGGAATATTGATAAAAAGGTGTTATTTAATGTTAATAATTGACAATTGTGAAAGGGGAAAAATTATAACACTAATT